AAAATTTCACTTGGTATTTGCGATGCAGGAGGATGCTCTCCTCATGCAAATCTGGGTCACACTTGACGTACCCCCGACGCACGATTTTGCAGAAGACCTCTGCTTATCTGATAAGTATCAGATATATATATATTTTTTGAGTTAAATCAAAAATTATTTCGCCCTGGAGAAATTATCGAAATATTTCAGACGTTTGAAATAATTTAACCCGAAACACTAGTAAATTGTTTTTTAAAATAAATTCTTTTTATTGTGGATGTGAACAGTCGACACACCGATCAGGGTGATTATTATCGCTGGATCTAATAATACAGACACGTGGATAAAAGTATTTGACGAATTAACCGTAAGTTTTGTAGAATTAATCTCAAAAATTAAATGAACTTCTTTTACAACATTATAATGAATTTATTTATTTAGACATTTGGTGCTGAAGGAATACATTATACTATTGATGAAAAATGGCCATCCAATGATTTTGAATATGTTTTGTTTGCTTTCGAATCTGCAGACGTTTTTGGTCAATCAGGAGCCTTTGTTGTTAAAGATAAAATAAATTAACATTAATAACATTAAGTTGTGAAAAAAGAATATCTGGTATAAATTTTATTTATTGATTTTTAATATATCAAATAAATTTTATGAATTCATAAATTATTTACGTGATCAAAGTTTGTTGTATCAATTACATTCCCTTGCAGCCAAGTTCTGGTGATTCTGGTGATATAGTTCTAAATTTTATTTATAATATAAAAAAAAAAAGCTTTAAAAATAATATTAATCATACATATAAATATATATACCGATATAACTTATATATGTTTTATTTATTTAATAAAAATCTTGACGTGACTAATAAACTTTCAAAATGAGATAATGTAAATGATAATATTTCTAGGATAAGTGCATATGCATCAAAAAAAAATCTTGGTATTTGACCAATCGTTTTTGATCGCTAAAAGAAAAAACCAAAAAATCCGGGTATATTACTGTACAACATAATTTTATAGAATAAGAATAATACTGTAATATCGATAATAATTCCCTAGATATTTAAAATATTTAAATTTGCGATTTTTATCGAAAATATTGAAATAAAATATTTATTTAAATGTGTACAGTAATTGCATATGTAAATAGAAAATATATATTAGGTCATATTCGTGAACATTAAATCATGTTATGAATCATTATTTCTACATGTACATGTATATATGCATAAACTTTTAAACATTTTAATCAGCTAGTCAGCTATTTAGTTAGCTAAGTGCGGCTGCCTGTATTTCATTTTTTCTTTGTTCCGCTATAGAAAATAATGACATAATAAATCCCTGTTTATCATTATCAAGATTTTTTGTAAGTTGACTATAAGATGCTGGATAATGTTGTTGAACACCTAAAATTATAAATCAATTATTATACATCTTGTAACAAATTGAGGTAGTAAATTGAAGAAAGATGTGTATTTGGAAATTTTCTTACCAATGAATGATTCATGAAATTTTATATAGACATCTACTTTATCTAATGGTGATTCAAACAAAACTTCTTCTTCCATCTCTTCCTCATGCTCATGTTCATTGTCATCAGGATTATTCCTGGCAGCCTAAATATATGAATTTTGTTTAACCAATATGTAATAAGTAAGACCATATAAAAATATTTTATACGTAACAATTATATAATTTACCTCTTGTGCCAAATACTCTAAATATTGTGTATCCTCATCAACCACATTTTCATCATCTAAAATATTTAAAATATTTAAAATATTTAAAAATTTAAAATATCTGATTAACAACACATAATAAACAAACACATTTAAATATAACAATATAGACAATTAAAATTAAATATTTCGATTGTTCCACTAACCATTACCCACACTGTCGTCCTCACCATATGCTTTGTCAAGAGACTCAAGCTCATCTGAATCATCACTATCATCATCATCATAACTTTTCTCGAGATTTTCTCGATCTAATAATAAATTAATAAGACATGAGCAACTTTTAAAAAGTAAAAAAAAATAAATTAATGATTACTTACTCTCTTCGGCTTTAGGTAAAGATTTAAATACTGTTAGAATACCATCCAAAACTTGTGTCCAACCACCTTGTAATGTAGGTGGTAATTGTTCAAAAGGTAATTCCAATAGTGAACAAAGCGCTACAATAACAAGTTTCTTATCATGAACACGTTTAAATTTTTCAATGTTTTCAAACCATATCGAAAAAAATGCTTGAGTAAGACCACGTTTTTCAAGATCATGGAGAGTCATGCCGGGATTATAATAAAGACAATTGATTACCTATAAATCATTACATTAATCAAATTAATTAATTTATAACACGTAATAATAATAATAATAATAATAATAATAATAATAATAACAATAATAAATAATCATAGTAATAACTTACGATTTCTATACAATATATTTTGAATGGTAGAGTGGTAATACTTTGAGGATCCGATAAGAAACGGAAACCAAGTTCAAGAAATGGGCCAACATACTAAAGATGAAAGAATAATTATTAATTTAACGATCGATCAAAAATAAGATATATCAAAAAATCGCGTAACAAATAAATAATCAAGTAAATACCTGATCCATATATCCACGACAATTTAATAATACAGATTCAATTAATTTACAAGCACAAATACGTTCACTTTCATTAATACGATCACTATTCATAACCTAAAAGACACCAAGAATTCTTTTTAAGTAAATATAATATAAACAAATCACAATAGATTCTATCAAATAACATATTAGATCATTACTGTTTCAATAACATCATATATTCTAGTGTGCAAATCAGCATTATGTACAAATATCTCGGTACCGTAGGATATATAATTGTCCAAAGAAGGAAGCATTTCTAAAGAAAATGACAAATACAAATAAATAAAATATATACAAGATTTTCTTGAAATAAAAATTCTTTGAAACAACGAATAAACTTTAAAAAATTAATCCATATTTTGATACCTTCAATATAATCAATTCCAGATATTGTATCATCTCCTTTAAATGTTTTATATATTAAGTCAAATATTCCCCACATTGTAGGTGATATTCGTTTTGTGGAATACGTACAACTATCGATAATATCAAAGACATCATCGTATAAATCTAATAATTATAATTTCGTAAAGGATTATTATAATTTCGTGAAGGATTAATATAGTTTCGTGTGAAGAATTAATCAAGTTAAATAAAATAATAACTTTATACTGTAATTATAAAACAATTTATTTTTTCTTACCTGTAATTGTATTTTCTAACGTAAATGTGATAATAGGTAATAATATATTCTCTAATTGAGATAAAATTTCTGGTGTACTTTCCAAACTAAGAATTAAGGTAGTTATTGTCTTGAGAACACCTGCAGCAGCCATGGTTTTTTCACCACATTCATATGAATTATCATAAATATCTTCACTTCCAGGAACTGCGGGAGCATTCTGATAGTCTTGCATAATTCTTAGAAATGAATTTCGCTATATTATATCAACGTTTATATGAAATTAATTTTTTTTTGTTTTCGTTTTTATCAAATTTTTACTTGGAAAAAACAATATTAATTTTTTTTTTTAAAAAAAAATATCATACTAATTGTTCACATAATTGAGTAGCGAAAGGACTTAATTCATTGGAAAAGACTTCAACAAACTCCTCCATTACATTCGCAAGTGTATCAGTATCAATTTGATTGGTTAGATCGAGAAGTTCTTTTTTTACACACCAGAAATTAGTCATAAAAATAAATATGAAAACGAGTCATTTTCATAAATTCATGTTACTCTTTGAAATTCTTATTGAATTCTTATTATGAAACCAATACAAAGTAATATAACAAGGTAATAATTACGTTGCATAACCATTGGTATGTTAGGAATTAGCGCGGCTTTTACTAAATAGACAATAAAAGATTAATAAATAAAATGATAGAATAAAATAATAATAATAATAATTTTACATTACCTGTTTCATGTCGTATCATGCTTTGCAAAGCTAAACAAGCTTGAACTTTTACTGGTAGTTCCTCATCACTCATACAATTGGTAATTCCTTGAAATGCTATTCCTAGATTTGATTCTTGTTCAAAATCCAAACTATCAAACTTGATCATCATATCACATGCCTAAATTTTAGATTAGTGACGAAATTAACGAAATTAATTAAAAAAATTATTATTACCACAATCATTATTATTAATCATTATTATTAATTATTATTAATAATTATTATTATTAAATATGATTACTAAAACATTATTATTAAAACACAATTGTTATGATTTACCCTAGCTCTTAAAAATGGATATGGACTTTGAAATTCAGGAAACACATGAGTAGTAAGGAAACCTTCCATAAGATGAGCAACACCCGATTTTTTACGCATAACCAAATCACTAAGACATCCAATCATTTTCAAAGCACCATCTTTATGACGTGGATTTTTAGCATCAGTAGGAGCATCATGATAAGTAGCCAAAATATTATTAATAAATCCCATTATTCCCATAAAAGTAAATTTTTTTCGAAGTTTTGCTAGGTCAATAAGGAGAGATATAGCTGCTGCTGTATGAGAACTGAAATCTTCTAATGGATCCATTTTTTTATGAATATAATCAACTGGATCTTCTGCCCACAATTGTTCATCTTCATCAGAAAAGCATAATTGAGGGAATAAATATTGAGACACTAACGTCTCATAATATGGTTTAATAATTTGCCACGTAATTTTGTGAGTAATTCTAATGAAAACAATGTGAAAAAAAATATTTAAAAAATAAATAAGAATTTTTTGGTATAAAATATTTAAAAATCTTTAAAAGAATTAATTGAATTAATTGAAAAAATACTAACGAGTCTCTGAAGAATTCGGAAAAATAAAAAAGCATTTTATTACTCAACCATACTTCCTTCTTAATCCATTTTTCAGTTTTTCGTAAATAAGTATGTAATATTTGAGGACCAAAATGATGTATAAAATTTTCCGAAAAAGCGGCATATTTTGTGGAAGAAGAAACAAGTTGAGCAGGATTTCCATATCTTTGAAAAAGACGATTTAAATTTTGACAAGACCATCTTTGAGCTTTAAACCAAATAAATTTTTGTCGGTCTTCAAGATCATTTGGAATAATTTCTCCAGGTATATCTTTTTCAACTAAATGTTGAAAAAAGGCAACCCATGGAACGATAGAATTATTATCTTGAAGAGCTACAGAAAGTTCAAACTTGGGACAAAGATTAATATATGTTAATTAAATATATGTTAATAAAATAAATACTAATTAAAACAATTAATCATATAATACAATTAATAATTAATAATACTTGAGTAGCCGAACTATAAATTTTGTTTATAACTCTCATCATTTCAGCAGCATCCAAATTTACTTCACCAAGTAATCCCTGACCCATTTGTAAAATTATTGTAAAAGTTCTTTGAATAATTTCAGCCAAAGGAATTCTTTGATCAGAAGATTTCCATCTAAAATTAAGTAAAGAAATAAACATAGAAATAAGTAAAGAAATATAAGTAAAGAAATATAAGTAAATAAAGAAAAAGTAAAGAAATATAAGTAAAGAAATTTAAGTAAATAAAGAAAAAGTAAAGAAATATAAGTAAAGAAATTTAAGTAAAGAAATAAACAAAAAGAAATAAACTTACTGATAAACTTTAACGACTTGTTGTAAGGCCAATAAGCCAATATAAGCAGTTCTAGGATCACCGGAAGTCAAAAGAGCAATAACTTGATTTAAATAATCAGGCCAATTATGAGGATAATCATTATCAAGAACTCTA